AACACAAATTACTCAGGAAAAACACACTAAGCAACAGGGAAATCAGATTTTACACTCTAGACACCACTTTTTAAGAGCTTTCTTAGCCGTTCGCATGGATGATATATTAATCAAATTATCGGGTAATTTATTAAAAAGGAAAAGAATATAATGCCTTTTTATTCTCTTTCCGTAGTTGGTAAATATTCTGGGTATTACGTACCTTTCAGTGCACCTCAGATTTCTCTTTTTGACCTCAATTTTCGAGCTTTTATCGTAGTAATGCCGTGTTAATATTACATATTCATAGAGTTTAGAAAAGGACATTATATTAAGTTCATTCATTTTCATATCTATTACTAGGTCATTACATCTGGTTCCGTACGCAACGTTACTCGCAATTTGTTTAAGTAGTCTATCTATTCCTAGTTTTTTATCTCCTGCACATTGTCCGAAAACAGTAATTCCATATCGCAAGATCGACTCTCCTAAGGCCATAAAAACAGTTTTACGAACTTTTACACCACAAACGCTCTTTAACCGGTACACATACGCTCATACTACGCGAAGCCTTTTTTCAATAAATTCTATGTGATTGTTCCATAAAATATATTCGTCAAAATATACGCCTAAGTACTTTACAGTCTGTTCGTACGGAAGTGCTATACTTTTACAAGAGTTGCCTTGCCCTGAATTTAAATAAATGCCTGCCGTAAGCTTCACCTGTTTATGGGGATTAAGAAAACACATAAGTTTCGTTTTGTTGTTATTTACTGAAATAAAATTGTCAGAAAACCACTGCGATAACATGTTTACGTCCTTTTGAAATATCGGAATTGCTTTTTCGTATATGTCATATGGTAATAGTAGAACCGTATCGTCTGCATATAAAAAAATTTTAGACTGTAGCGGCAAAAGACTTAACTCATTTATGTAAATATTAAATAACAACGGGCCCAAAGTGCTCCCTTGAGGTACGCCGCAATGAACCCGAGTTTTATCACTTACACAATTTTCTATTTTCACCAACTGAAATCTATCTGTGAGGTAGTCATCGAAAAAATCATAAAATAGCCCTCTAAAGCCCATTCTTTCAAGTTTTTCTAAAAGGAGCGTATGATCGATGGTATCGAAAGCCTTCGATAAATCTAGGGATAAGGCCAGAGCAATATTATTGTTATCTAATGTATCGTTGATGCAGTCCTAGAAATCCTCCAAAAGTGCTGTTGTGCTTTTATTTTTCCGAAGGCCATACTGAGAATTAGTAACAAGAGAAAATTTTACACAGAAATTATTCATATTTATCTGAACCCATTTTTCCATGATATGCGAAATTACTGGCAATATTGATATCGGTCGGTAACTCCCTAAATCCTTTTTATTACCGCTTTTGTAAAGAGGCCTAATTACTGCAACTTTTAGCTCTTTTGGAATTTTTCCTGTGGTAAGGGAACCGTTACTTATTTTCAGTAATACTTGTTTTAGATTATCTATATTGTAACGTAAATCTCGCACACGTATTTTGTCTATACCTGGTGACTTTGTTATGGACGTAGAATTTATGATGGTTACCAGATCATCCTCACACATTAGAGGTAAGTATGCCGAGTTTTTGTTACTGAACTTGGGAGCGTTATTTTTTGTTCTACTGTTTTAATTTTCTCTCTTAAATCTTTAACGCCACTGATAAAAGAACTATTGAAGGAGTCTGCTAATGTAGTGTAGCCATCAATATCGGGGAAATGCTTCTTGATTGTATTATCAATATTACTTTTTTTCTTCCTCCCAATTAACTGATTGATAAGATTCCATGTTTCCGCTGAGTTTTTTACCGACTGGCTAAATTTGGTCTTATAATAATATTAATAATAATCAATCTTTATTTTGTTTCATCACTGAAACGGGGGACCAAGACAAAAAGCTGCTGCAGCAGCTTGACGGAGGTCCTGGCCCCCTTTACAGCAGGCTATCCCTAAGCAATTTCAAAAACGAACACAATAGCTACATTGAAAGAAAGAACACTATTTTAAATGTACAGGCCATAGATCAAACAAAAACAAGAGAAAAAACAAAAATTAATGCATTCATTGTGGTATACAATGGTACAGTGATCCTTGTGCCTTAGCTGTACCTAAGAAAACAACCCTAAAATAATGCTCGTACCTCTGCCAGCGTCATTGCATGAATATCAACACCTTTTAAAAATAATTCATTTAACAAAGTAGTTAATTGGTAATTTAGCGTGTGGTTATAATATAATGGATGTGATGGTGAAACAAACCATTTTTCTTTAGGGCGGAGTTGATATGAGGAAGTGAAAAGAACTAGGTTACATAACTCCTCAAAAACTTTATTTTTAAACTGCGTAGACTTCTTGTACGCCACAAGAAGTCGGGACCTGTAAATATTTGAAATTGGTTTTATATTAAACAATGAAAACAAGTGTTCAGTATGATCATAGTATGAAACATTGGCAATAGCACGCACAGCTTTCTTTTGTAAAATATGTAGTTTATTTATATTTGTTTTTGTTGTATTTCCCCAAACTAGATGGCAATAATTAAGTTGGGAATATACCAAAGCATTGTAAAGTTGGAGCTTAACACAACGAGGTAGCAACGATTTAAACTTGGTTAGCAACCCCACTGCTTTTGACAATTTAGACGAAAGATTATCAACATATTTATTCCAAGACATACTATTTGTAAACCAAACACCCAAAGTCTTAATAGTGTCGACAAATTCAATTTCTTCATTGTTCAAAATCAGTGGGTTTGGGATCATAACTGTAGCATGTTGACTTTTAAATAAAATGGCTTTGGTTTTTTGCGAATTTAACTTAAGGTGATTATTTTTTGTCCATTTTGCTACACGTTCAAGAACGGTATTACATTTAGTTACTAGAGTACAAATATCTTTATCGGAAAAGAAGATGCTAGTGTCATCAGCATATATTATGAACTGAACTTTAAGATCCCGATTTACATTCACAATATCGTTAATATAAAGAATAAAAAGGAGGGGGCCTAAAATGCTGCCTTGGGGTACACCATTTGTTATTTTTGAAATATCAGATTTAAAGTTAAATATAGACACGAACTGGGTACGATTCCGTAAGTAAGATTGTAACAAACTTAAAATTTTCCCACGAATGCCATAGTATTCTAATTTTGCTATGAGGACATTGTGATTTATCGTGTCGAAAGCCTTAGAGAAATCTAAGTATATACCGATCGTTAATAAGCGATTATCTAGTGCTCTTAATATTATTTCTTTTTGTTTTAGTAATGCTAACTCAGTTGAATAACTCTTACGGAAACCAAATTGAGAATTTGTAATTAAAAGGTATTTCTCAAGATGAGAGACAATTCTATTTGAAACGATTTTTTCGAGTGGCTTAGAAAATACTGGAAGTATGGAAATTGGTCTAAAATTGTTAATATTATTTAAATCACCACCTTTATGCAATACACTAACTTTGGCAATCTGCATTTTGATAGGAAACTCACCGCACTCAAGTGCAAGATTGAATATATGAGTTAGGTATGGTGCTAGGATATCTAGAACATACTTTGCTGGCTTTATTTGCATATTGTACGCATCAATACTTCTACTATTGTTTAGACTCATAAATATATTACAGACTTCGGATACATCAGTAGGAAAAAGAAATATAGAATTAGGCAAGGGTGAAGGCATGCACTGAAGTGCATCATTTACAGTAGTAGTAGAAACAGGAGATGTGGTATGATTTACAAAATAGTTATTAAAAGCATTACCATATCCATCCCCGATATTATACAACCATCAATGTTAATTTCAACTGGCATAGAAACCTGTGGTTTGTAGTTAAGCAATGTTTTGAGTCTTTGCCACATCACGTCACTTTGACGTATATCATCGATATTAAACATATTAATGTAATAATCTTTCTTCGCTTGTCGCAGCATGCTTGTTAGTTTGTTTCTATATTTCTTAAAAATCTCAAGTTTCGAGGCTTCCCTAGATTTCAAAAACTGACCATATAAGTTGTTTTTCGTGCGAATCATAGTGAGAAGTTTAGGTGTAACCCAAGGTTTGCGAGAGTTTTTGGAGGGTTTTACGGTTTTAAATGGAAAATATTTACCATATATTCGAATATACAAGTCCAAAAAAGAATTATAAGCATCATCTACCGATGAACTTTCAAAAATAACAGACCAATTTGTGTGTTCAATTTCATAGCGGAAAGCATCTAACTGGCGCTGCGTGATAGGTTGGTATGTAATCGTCGAGCTAATGTAACGTTGTCTGAAGTGACGTTTTCCTACCGATATAAAAATTGGAAGGTGATCACTGATATCTGATCAAATGACGCCGGCAGAGAGTACGGAATGTTCGTGGTTTGTAATAAACAAGTCAAGAAGAGAAGCTCTTGTACTTGTTACTCTTGTAGGGTTCTTGATGACATTAGAAAAACCAAAGGATTGAAACTGAGTTGTAAACGCAAATTGCAAGTTACTATCAGTAAACAAATCAGTATTAAAGTCACCGGCGATGTAAGATTTATAGTTATGATCATTTACAAATCCACAGAGCTCTTCAAAACATTGAATAAAAGGGGCAAAGGCAGCACTTGGGGGACGATAAACTACGGAAAATATAGTATCATTAACAAGAACAGTCAAAATCTCATACCATGCGGTGATTATTGAAAACTGCTTTAATATTTCGTACCTCATATACTTCTTCAGTAACATAGCGACACCACCGCCTCTTTTTCCAGCTCTATCAACGCTGATATGATTGTAGTCGGGGAAAATGAAATAATCTGCACTGCTTGTATACCACGTCTCGGAAAACATGATAACACTTAAGTGCGGTCCGAATTCATGAAACAGATTATGCAACTCATCATGCTTGTTTTTTATTGACCTAGTATTCATATGAAGAAACGTATCTGATAAGGAATGCTTTTCTTCCAGAAAATCATAGAAGTCGAGGGGCGTAAAAAAGTTCTCAGACATCAAAAAAGAAAAAGAACAAAATCAAAAACTAATTTCCGTCTACGCAATCTTGGAAAGGTCGTCTTCACTGGTTATCAAAATGACGTCGCTAGTCTCATTTTTTCGCATGAAAATTCTGCTCTGGGACACCCAGGCAAACTTCCATCCCTTTTCCTTTTTGCACCGGATCGCTTTGCTCAACAAGATTTTGTTTTCGAGACATAAATGTTCGTTTATATAAACTGGCACAGAGGTCTCAAAACCAAGGTCAGCGCTCGTAAGCCTTCGTTTTTGTTTTTTTTTTGTCTTTGACAAGACTTCATCTCTGACACTACGTCGCACAAACTTTACAATCACATTTTGTACCCCCTGGGTTTTCGAAGGTACACGATGCACAACATCAATGTCAGCGGGGCACACCTGAACCCCTGCACAACCAGCGAGCTTAGCGACGAGAGTCTCAAGGTCTTCGTTTGGGTTCTGTGGGAGTCCCTTGATTTCCAAATTATTTGTTCGACTGTATTGTTGGAGGTCAAGAAGCTCCTTTTTTACCGTACAAAGCCCGTCAGCAAGCAGCTTGTTTTCAACTTTTAGAGCATCCTGTTCAGCTCTCAGTTATTTAATCTCTTTGACTGCGGCAGCAAGGTCTTTTTTGAAATCCTCGAAATTTTTATTCATAAAGTCCATAGACCGATTTACGCTCTCCAGTTCTGTCCCTAATTTTGTGTTCATGGTATTAATTTCATGGCTTAGTTTGGTGTTCATATCATCCAGCTTAGTAGAAACCTCGGCTAGGATCTTCACCACTTCCTTTACGGTTGAAGGTTGTTTTTCTGCCATGCTAACTACAGGACACACAAAGAAACAACAGCTGGGCGATCCAGACAACCACAAAATAATAAATTCGAAAACCAATCACTGTACCCACCTGCAAGTACAGAAGATAGATGAGACTTGGGCAGAAGCACACGTGTCTGGATCGCCCGCTGTAATGGGGTAGACCACGCCGAGCACTTTCTTATATAGGCTCAAGTCCTGGAAAGACCGACGTCACCGGAAATACGGCGCAGACCTCCACTCAAGAGTGCAGAGGCCACATATGTAAAACGGGCAGATAGGACCACGGTGTTTGCTTAAAAATCGAATTTTAGCTGTTAGTTTATTGCACACTTGCCGAAACTCCTTGTTTAAAAGCACGTCCCCAGGTTTCAATTTACATTTCTTCCATAGGCTGTCCTTAGTGTGACATAATTCCAAGATCTCTTCGGTAATCCACACATTTTCTGGTCTTCGCTGTCTGATCTTTACTTTCATTTTCGATTGTTGGTATATATTCTGAAGTATGCCTACTAGAGTATTATATGCTGGAATGTGGTCCAGAGATAGTAACAATTTATAATCAGATGTCCTAATTAATTGGTCAATTTTGCTGTTATCTAAAATTATTCTCCAGCCTTCACTTCCCACTAAACAGTCAGTCTGCCTTTGACCCCATATCAACAATGCAGTAAAGTAATGATCTGCAACTTTTTCTCTGATGACGCCGGACAGCATATGCAAGTTACTGACTCTGGTAACTATATGGTCTATACACGTTCTAGTAATTTTATCGCCATATATTCTTCTCTAGTGAAGTCATGGATTACATTTTCTAGCCCAAAAGAAGAGAGAGTGTCAAGATAACTCGAGACGCCGTATTTAGCCTCCTTGGAAACATCAGTGTTAATGTCACCGGCGAGAACGAAATTTTTATTGTTGTTGAATTTACTAAATAAATCAGACAATTCTTCGATGAACAGATTAATGTTGGAGCTCGGTGGCCTATACACAGCACAGACAATGTAAGAGAAGATGCTTTCGTGGATGGATACAACACATGCTTCTGAGTGTTCCAAAGAAATGTCAAGTCTATCGGATATACACTTGTCGTTAACAAATATAATTAGCCCACCACCCTTTCTTTTTTCTCGACATAGATAATATACATAAAAGCCATCTAAGGTGAACGTTTTGCATACTGTTTCTTTCACATTAATCTCAGTTAAAATAAGCACGTCCAAGGAGGATAATCTGTCTGATAGCAGCACCATGAGTTGATGCCAGTGTTTATTTAAACTCCTCACATTTATGTGCAGTAAGTTTAACTTTATTTCACCGAATTCCTCTTCCCTTAAGACTCGTTTTGTGTGCAAATCCCAGAGTTTAAATGAATCAAATGAACTCTCCATGATTACCTAATTTTTTTCTAAGTCACTTTCGTCCTCAATGTGAATAACAGCTGAACCCTCTTTTTGGCGTACAAAAATCTTCCCGTTTCTGGACCACACAAACTTGTAGGTCTTCTCTTTAGCACGGTTCTTAGCTTGCCATAACAAATTCCTGTTTCGCCTTGTCAAGTTTTCGTTGATGTAAATGTGTTCATTCCTCAGTGCCACTCTTTTTTGAAGAGTGGCACTGAGGAACACTGAGGAACGATTCAGAGATGCCACTACGGGGCGGCTCTAAGTGTTAGCGGTGATTGCGGTAAAGGTGACGGCGATAAGAGTTCACGACCTTGAACGTATGGCAGCAGCCATCTACGCCACAGAGTATTGTGATGTTAGGCTCGGAGCCATGCATTTCTGCGACATGATTGATGACTCTTATCAACTTCGGTGCGAAAAACTTGCACAGGGGGCATGGCCAAAACGTCATCTTAACCAGGAGGGCATTGTTACCTTTGCAATGAAGCAAGAGCATGGGAACGGGAGCCCTCCCCCCCCCCTCCAAAAAAAAAATAATAAAACGGACAGGACGTTGACAGTGGGGTGGAAGCTGCATGCTCGTTGAACGAGTGCCGGCCTTGCACCACGTGATAACTTCCCCCTCATACTTACTCGCGGAGAGCGAGGTCACGCGTTAGAGGCAGGCCATTGATTGGTCCGGCGAGCACCCAGCTTCCACCGCACTACAACCACTGTAACCGCACTGTGAGCTTAGGGGCGAGCAATTACAGTGTTGCTTGGGTTTGACGGTTGTTATCGCCTTATCGCCTAATTATCCTTAAAGTGATCTTCAACAATATGCCAAATCCGAAAAAAAAAGAAAGAGATTTAATACCTTTAAATTATTCGAGTGTGAGCGGTGCGTGAACGGAAATATTTGCCTAATTTAGCGAACTTTTTTCAACCCCCGGAGCTCCTTGCTCACGCTAGGGCTCCCCTACCCATTTTCCCTCTCACGCCTAATCTCTTTGCCAGCAGGCTCGTCGGGCTCGTTACGTTAGGGTTGTCTTGTGGTGTCGTGTCGTCAGCGCCGCTGTACCGATCCGTTGACTCGTACCGACTCCCCTTCGTCCTTATCCAAACAACTGTGTTTGGTAAGCTTGCTTCTTATTTTTTGCGGGTCGGTGTCGGCCCTTGGCAATGTGGGTACTCATCCTTATTTGACACACTTTTGGGACAGCCGCGTTAATACGTGCGTCCGTATCAAGTTCATTGTGCTGTCCATGTACTCGTTTCTGGTCGCCACAGAGCTTTCAAAACAACATATTTGCGCTCATAGAAAGGAATCCCGGCTTGTCGCATTCTTGTTGGCTAAACAGTCGGATGAACGGTCATTACCGAAGCCACTCTTCGCCGAACGGCCAGATCAAAAGCTTTGCCTTCCATTGCGTCGGGAAGGACCGTAAACGACGCAGTCGCCACTTGCGGTCCCGACTTACCGTCATATTTCCGCAAGAAATGTCATCCCAAAACATTCTGTATATGTCACGCCTGTACTAACATAAAAGACTACCGTTTTGCATTGAAAAAAAAAAACCTGAGGCTGGGTGGGACAAATAAAATGGAGTAAAACCATACGCACTACGTCGCGCACCTCGACCGGAAACGGCTATACCACTGATCTCTACTGCGCGGAGAGCTCATGCCATTTGGGTCACCCTTTTCGGACGGCGCGTGTATCATTGGTGAGCGGGTTAACTTCGCGCGACAGTGTGCGGCTGCTAATTACAAAACTTGACAGCGGCGTCTAGCCGGCAACCTAAGCCCCGCTGTCCCTGATTGCACCTCGAGAAAGAGTCTCATACCATTTCGTCCTCTGAACATCTTGGGAAGGACCAGCGGCAAAAAACTTGGGACAACATTTACATGACATCTGCAATTTTTAATGTTCCTCCGAAAGGAATTTTCGCTCTCCCTTGGCAGGCATCGAACCAGCGACCTTTCGTGCAGTAGTCCGATGCGGCACCCACCGTAGCATCCGTAAATTATGTGTGTGTTTGTCTTTAATGCATCAGCATTCGGGTTTTCGCCTTCAAGTCGTCTTGGGGATAATATGAGAGACCCTGTGTTTTTTTTAATTTGTCCCAGTCTCAGATTTTCTTTCAATGATGTTCCCTAAACAGCTCGCCTACGTACTTGCAGTGGTGCAGTAACGGGGGGGGGGGGGGGAGCGGGGGGGGGGCCGTGGGCTCCGGGTACCAGGAGTCTCAGTCACGAGGGGGGGGTGCCACTTATGGCGGCAATCCCCCCCGGCTTGACTGGTTCATAAGTGGCAAAGAATGTGTAGACGCATGAGGTCACCACTCTTCCACCACGAACGTGTCTTGGCTTGGCTCGCGCAGAGTCATCGCGCACCGGCGGAAAAAACAAGCACGGAAAGTGCGGGAGCACTCGAGAAAGCGCTGTGCCCGGGCACGCCGAGCCAACGCCACCTAGTCTACGCCAAACCCAGGCCAACACGACGCTGGCTTGCGCCGACCACGGCCGGCCTGCGCCGAGACAGCAAGAGAAGGTGCCATCGAAGGTAAAACTGCTGCCGAGATTACAGACCGTATTCTAAAACAACTTGGAGATCGATGAATTGGACATCGCATTTTGCCGCAGCCAGGGCTATGACAACGCAGCCGTTATGGCTGGGATCCACGGTGGAGTAGAGGCCAGAATCAAGCAAATTAATTCAAAGGCCTTGTTTGTACCCTGTGCCAATCATTCGCTGAATCTTTGCGGTGTTCATTCATTTGAAAGAGTCAACGTGTGCGTCACGTTTTTTTGGAACTTTGGAAGCTATGTACACGTTTTTTTCATGCTCACCTCAAAGATGGAAACTATGAAATGCTGGCGTGGCAGTTAAAAGTCTTAGCCATACGAGGTGGAGCGCTCACTACGAAGCAGTCCGTGCAGCAGAAAAATGCTATGAGCAGATAATCTAGACGCTGGAAGCACTGCAAGGTGCAAAATACAACGTGGAAACAAGGAGGGGTGCATTGAGCTTGGTTACTGCTGCATCCGATTTTTCTTTTTTTAGTTTCCTTTATTTCTGGTCTGAAGTCTTGCAAGAAGTCAACCAAACACAGAAATACTTGCAGACGGCAGGAATCTGCCTTCAGCACCGCACCCTGAAGCTCAGATCTTTAAAGATATTCCTGCAAGAGCAGAGCGTCAAGGTGGTAGAAAGGGAATTGCCCAAGCCACATCAAAATGCGAGGAAATGGGTATAGAGACACTAGCAAGAATCAGATATCGCAGGAAGATGCCTGGTGAAAGAGCAGCGGACGGTGGCCTGACGTTAACAGAGCAAACCAAAAGGGCAATGTTTGAATGTCTCAACCGTTTTCACGAAGAGCTGGACACCCGCTCAAAGGCTATGGAGAAAGTGACGTCGGTTTTCTGCGTCATTGAGCCTGCCGCTATAGTACTTGAGACCGAGGAAACGCTTCGGACATTGACACCAAGCCTCACTGAAGTTTATGACGAGTTCACCGGTCATGATGACGAAATCGTTATGGAGATCATCCGACTGCGAAGGCACCTGAAAGCCGCAAGGAAGCATCCTAATGAGTCAAAAACTTGAAATGC